ATAAATATTAAACTTTATCCCTAAGTTTTATACAAAAATATTAGATTGTACCCTTAAGCATGCATCTCCACAAGTCTTACCTCCTGAAATCCCAACCTCTGGTTCGGGCTGTGCCTATACATATATAGTGTTTTTGAATTTAATTCATGACCGCTAATGCTAAATGTATAACGGTTCTTTTTTTTTCAATCAATGGTAGAAAGTATAATTCTTCAATAAAATTTATAGTCTTGGGCTGAACATGGAGGGTTTCTTACGGCAAAAGATCAAGCCTAAAGCAATAAGATGATAGAGATTTCTTAAGCGCAATCTATAAATGGAGTATAACTCAATTGTGAAATTATAATATTTGAGGAAACTGGCTAATGGTAGCATTACAACAATTTTTTTTTGTTGCCTCAACAAATTTCTACTTAAATAACCAGTTAAACTGTTTAAAAATGAATCCAACCTTCGACTAGTGAAGGATGCATTTGTCATTGCAAAGAAATTTACTATGGAACTAAAATAGGTAAAATAACAAATATCACTTCCCGGAAAAAAGATTGATTGGATACAAGAGTAAAAAGAGTAAAAATAAGCAGTGTTCGACAAATACGAATTCAAAACTCAATCGATTTGGTCAATATGTTGTTGAAGGTCATTTTTCCTACAATTAATATTGAGCAATCAACTGTTCCAATTGACTTTTTTTTTTAGGATACTGAAGGCTTTGACCTGCAATTGGGGTTGTAACTTGAAACCACAAACTCCTTCCTAACGACAATGAAAGCTTTGACCAACTGATTCGTAAATTTTTTGTACGACACGAGGCACGGAGACAATATAATATCGTTCCCAATAAGGCCAATCATTAAATTCTGCATCCATGTTGTGTGGGTTTAGTGATTCAACGTGTCCCAAGGCATTAAATTGCAGAAAAAACTATCTTAGCATTTAGGGGGTAACCGGTCTTCTATTACACAATGAAGGGTAACATTTATGTTACACATTTTGATACCTTGATACCTATTTTTTAAATGATTATAATAATATTTCTATTGAAGTTGAATTCTTAAAAAGGAAGTATGTCAATGCATGAGGCAATTGGGATCGTCTAAAATGTCATTATTCGGTACCAAATTCAGTGTCAATCATATTTATTACATGAAGGTAGAAGAAATTTAAATAAACAATATATGTCAAGGTAAATAAACAGAACACTTGACTTAAATATAAAAATGTCACTGAGTTATCATTGAAAAAGTGGTATTGAAAATCTCACGTGTGCACGAGGATGTGTGACGTGAATGTTACACCTTAATGTGTAACAAAATATCCATAACCGCTCTATGGCAGTGAAAAAATGTGCAAATGCATGTTACCTATTTGGACAGAAGCAAAATCGATTGAGAATGTTGGGATGTTGGGGCCCCCGGGAGGAAGAACACAAGTTCCATTTCAGATCAGTTTGCTACCTCCTAGAGTGTGCAAAAGTTGAAATAAGATGTAAATAAATTTAGATAAAATGTAAAAAAAAAAAATTGAAATGATAATTTTACCCTGAATCGGTTTGAAATAGACTAGTGAGGATCCGAGAATGTGGTAAATAAGTACCAATAGATGCCTGTTCTCTAGAGCATTCATCGCCATGAGATCTTTGTGAATGCTTCTGAACGATGGCTTGTGAGACAAGCAGTGCTTTACGTGGTGCAGCAGTAAGTTTTGACTTCTTGCAATGCCAAAATAGAAGTAGCATAGGTGGCAAAGCATGTCCTCCCTTGAATCAATGTGTTCAGAATTGGACCGGATCGGTTGGTTCGATCGGTTGGACTGCAAACCGGACACGTCACCGGTTCGGTTTAATGCTAAAGCCGCAAGTTAATGAAAAACTGTTGGAAATCGGGCGAACCGTATGAATCATTAAAAATCATTCAGACCGTAAACCGGTGGTTTTTAAAATTTTCAAATATTCACCCAAAACTCAAAACAATAATAGGAATGGAGCTCCTGGGATTCGAACCCAGGTCTCCACAGTCACAACAAAGACTTGTTACCACTGGACTACATTCACGGGAAAAGTGTTTTTTGTAGAATGCTACTTATCTTAAGTTGAAAACTAAAATCTCATTAAACAAAAGAAAACCTGAGCACTAAGACACGGCAGACACCAGACAGCACCTTTTGGCTTTTGCTTCACATATCCTCTGTTCTCTGTCTCTGTTTCTTCTCTCATTTTTTTTTTCCTTGTAACCTTTCCACCTCCAAATCAAATACCCCGTGAAAAAATCTTTCTCAAGTCTTCCCCATGATCATCAAGCTATTATCTTAGCTGATTTATAAGCAAGTTGGAAGCTTCAACTTTCATAAGAGTTTTTTCATCTTGGTGAGTTTAATTTTTTCCTTTTCAAGATTTTTGTTTTGTATTTCCATTTGCAAATGATTTAGTACAAATATTTAAAAATTTTAAACTAGTCCATGACAGAGATGCCGTTTGTCTTGTAATAATTGTATTATCTATTACTATAATTTTACAATTTTTTGGAGTTTCATGTATAACTTTTAGGAAATTTATTATTATCTCAACTTAAATTTAGTTTTAAGTTATGTTGGTGAATGCATTTTAGAGATTTAAGTTATCAATAACCATGTTGCATCAGCTGTCAAGTTCATGTAGAGTGAAGACTTATGAAGTACTTAGCATTGAAGTTGCAAAAAAAAAAAAGAACCGGTGAATCGGCCGGTCGGACTGGTTGGACCGGTTGAACAACGAACCGGCCCCCTCTCTGGGTCAATAGCCGATCCGAGTTTAAAAACATTGCCTTGAATACTTGGAACTACAATGGAGTTAGGAGGTTGCAATCGCATTTGAACAACAAAAGGCTTGACATGCTGTTATAGGTTTTCACAATTTTTTCCATTTTTTAAATTTTGTCCAAAGAAAAAAAAGTCAATGAAGTAGTGTGTACATAATATTTTCTGACAAAAGCTTAATCGCTGTGTTCTTAAATTCGGACCAGGCCGGTTGGTCTGACCAGTCGAACCGGAAACCGGCCAAGTATCTGGTCCGAGTTATTCTAAAAAACCGAATGAGTAAAAACTCAATCAAACTCGGTCAAAAATCGGGATTGACCAAGTTTGATAGGAAAAATTCGGAAGAACCGGTTCCGTCAAAACCTTTTTTTAAAAAAGGTCAAACATTTTCAATATTATGTTTTGACCCCTAAATTGTTAAAAATTATTAATATACCTCAAATATTTTCATACATTATAAATGTCGTCCTAAAATTTGATGTTATTTTTCAATCAAGTCCATAATTTTATTTCTAAACTTGTTAATGTTCATTAAATAATATAAATTGCTACTTGATCGTTCTAATTTATTTGTATTTTCTTGTTAAATATATTTGAAACATCAAATATATATGAATATACCTTTATTAATATTAACATGCTTTTAGGTATTTTACATACAATATTTTAATTTTTAAATAATTTTTAATTATGACGTCATCCGGTTCAATCCCGATCGAGCCTGGTAGAACCCATTGACCCCTGAGCTCAACCGAGTCGATACTCGGTCCGAGTCTGAAAACATAGCTTAATTGCCGAGATTGCTAAATTCAACATTTAGCAAAAGTACTCGAGAAGGACTTCTGTTAAGTGTTGGATTGTGCAAGCTTGACAATTAGTAGTTAATGTATGAGCAAAACCTAAAGGATAAAGCGCATACAAAATTAGTGATATTTCTTACAGACAATTATTGCTTTATGACTTGGTTTATGAATCTTCATATGTTTCTGTCGTGGACTGAACAGAACCAAATTCTTTTGGTAGCACAAAATTTCTATACGTTAATACGCTGTCAGACTTAAAAAATTGGGGCATTACATATCACTAAAAAATTTTAATTTCCGCAATGGTATTCCACAATTAGGAAGAACGGGAAATAATCAAACCATGATTACAATATTTAGATAAATGTAGTGTTGCACTTTAACATGTAAGGCACTACATATCACTAAGGTTTTTTTGCATTGGCTAGGCTGCTTCAAGTATGCCTAATTGCTTGGTGAGTTCAGCTAAACATTAAATGGCAGGGTTTTAAACACAAATTGATCATTCTTATCAATTTCTTTTGAAGGCAATTCGCGATAATCACATACGAGGGCAGAACTTTACTAATGTTTATTTCTCGTTATTTGGAAAGCGTAGGTATATATGCATGTGTGTATGTTTATAGGACTTTTGCTCTTTTTTGAAAGATATATCTTCTTTATGAATTGGCTTTACAAGTACGCATACAAGTAATTTTCCAGTTTATACTTCAAATTCAGTGAATAGGATTAGATTAAGGGCATAATTTAACTTGGTCATATGGACAAGAAATAAAATGTGATACTAAATTATGACAAAAGAAACATTTAAGTCCACATTAATATCCCAATCTTACATTTGAGATACAAAACGGTATTCGTCCATCCTCTAACTTATAGTTCTTTCACATACACAATAAAAGATATTGTTTTTGTGATGCAAAAGTACCTTGCGTAATTAAACAGCCTACCAATCATACTTCTCTTGGAACTATTGCTGAGTTTAACATGCTCTTCCTTATTTCTTTTCTTCATAAAAGATCTGTTTGAAACGTTAATCAGCTTGGAATATATACAGTCGATCGAAGTGACGGCAGAGTCGATACATGAACCTTATCTTCTCCATGGTGCTCGAAGTCTATATGCCTGAAAGACGTAGAAATTAGAACAAATGCTTTTCGTTACATCTTTCTATTTCTTTACCTTAATTCACTAAGGGGACTGCAATTTATGATAATATGGACTCTATACCAAGTACAAACAATCATCTCTTAAAAGCCCAACTACATGGAGGGCCGACTCCCCAGCCCTTTTGATGGCAATGTGGCATAGATTTTCCGATAAATAGAGATCAACCTACACCTGCTTTCTCATCCTTCACGAAATCGGTTTCAATACATAAATTTTCCGTGAGAGCCCAAAATGGGTTCCAAGACACTTCTTTTCTTTTGCATTTCCATGGCTGTAGTTCTAATGATTACCTCAGAGGTGTTTGCTGGGGAATTGGCTAAGACTTCAGTTGACAATTGTAAGACATTTGTTTTCCAATTCACATTTCATCATTTTATATGTAGCATATGTTAATTTAGAATGAAGGAACAGAGTTTAACATTTCAAATAGATTTTTTCTTTTGGTACATGTGAAGTGTCGGAGTAATAAGAAACATAGCTGAGGTGTATATACAAGTGTCAAGCCTTTCCCAACGTGGAAGTTGGAGTGTAACGGTTAGTAACTGGATTAATCATCTTGTATTTCTAGTGTAAAAATATATTCTACGTTTGTACGTGTCGATGCATAAAACATAGTTTTTTCTTTTAATAGAACAATAATTAATTCTCAGAAAGTACGATTCGAATGATCTATTAGTTGGTAATAATTAACCATTTTAAGGGTATCTCTAAAACAATAATTAATTTGTCGACACATACGATAAAAGACAAAATTTCAAATGATTACGATATTTTTGAAATGGTAATCTAGAACTAGAAGCATTTACAGAATTTGGTCCAAACATTACATTTCGAAATTATGACTACAGCAAATAACGCCATGCCAAATTTATCTTGGTTGCAGCCGAGACAATTGAGACGAATGGCGTAGAAGAAGCCAAATACCGTGGAGGTGGCTATGGAGGGTACCGCGGAGGAGGATATGGAGGTTACCCGCGAGGAGGTTATGGAGGGTATCCTGGTGGTGGATATGGGGGCTATCCAGGTGGAGGTTATGGAGGATATCCTGGGGATGGGTATGGAGGGTACCCTGGTGGTGGCTATGGAGGACGTGGTGGTGGTGGCCGTGGAGGTTATGGGGGATATCCTGGGGGTGGATATGGAGGGTATACTGGTGGTGGCTATGAAGGACGTGGCGGCGGCCATGGCGGATATCCTGGTGGAGCTGTTGATGCAGAGACTGAGAACTAATCAAGCCAGCTTCTAGCTAGGTCGTGATTACTCGTCAATGCTTGAACCGGCTCACTGTGAAATACAATAGTAGGTTTGTAGTGTGAATCGAGGTTGGTTAGTGACTATGTAATGTGCACTCTATATCTTTGCCAGCACGTTCAATATATCCAGCATGTCTATTTCTAATTGTGTCTCTTGCATGGCCACTTTTGATGTTATGGCAAAATATTCTTCTACAATATGAATTCAGTTTAACTATTTTCAACTGAAACAAATGAGTAATGTTAACATTGATTAGATATTATTCAAGAAAATTTTTGATAGAATAATACTGTAGTATAATTTGTAATATGACGTATACAAGATAAAAATATAGTTAACAAATAAATAATTGATTGAAAAATATTTTTATGTCGTAACAATTTTTTATCCATTTTCTCAACTAATGGGCTATCCAAGAAAACTAGTATTTCAAAATGACAACGTATACTTTAGTTTATCTGTTGATCAATTAAACGTTAATTATCAAATTGATTTTTTGGGAGTATGTACTCTGTCACCTGATCCAATACAAATATTTTTGATAACAGATTTGTCGAACTCAATCTTCTATCCAGCTTGTTTCATGTTTGCCTGATAATAGATTTTAAAGGCACCCTTACTCAAGCTGTCCGTCAAATATAGTATATAAGCTGAAATATGATAAACCCTAACACTTGATGTGATCTTTTCCCCCTTTCCCCCATTCCAAAGAAATGGTAACAATTTGTATTGTTATTGATACTCATAAAAATACTATGACTTTACAAAGGTGGGATAAATCCCAAATATTAGGATTCCCAAGTTATCTAAATAGAAATTTACAGGGAGAAATGATTGAATTGGATGGTAAAATAAGGTTGTAAGTAAGAGATTTTGGGTTTAAAACCTCCCACTTAAAAAAAAATTTTCATCATTCCATTCTATGTCAATCCTTAGATCAGTAGCAAACTTAGCTAATCTTTTAGTTACAGTCAAAATTTACTTTTAGATTTTGTATAAAAGAGTTAATGCTAACAGAGATCTTATACTAAATATATTGTAGACACCAAAATTTGCATTCATTTTTATTTATTTTATTTATTTTATTTATTTTATTTATTATTGTTTATTTATCCATTTATTCCTTTTCATTTCATGATATTTTTATTTTCTTAAGAAAATCATTTTCAATTCATTTTTTTTAGAAAATTAGAAAAGAAAAGAAAAGAAAGGCAGAAAAGAGAAAATTTTTTGATTAAAATCAGATTTTGTAAAAATAAAAATAAGAAAACCTGCACGCACGCTGGTTACTTCTTTTTCATACGAAGAAGCCAGCAGAGAGGCCTGTAGTGACTGGCTCAACAAGAGAAATGCAGAGGGAGGGGTAACAGAAAAAGAAGAAAGAGAAGGGAGATGTGAGAGGGAAGAAAGAAAGAGAAAATGCAAGAAAAAAAGAAACTGATTTTGTTGTATCTGATATTGCATGCCCTCTTCACGTCCCCCATAGGCTTATTTATACAGGATTTCCTCTAGATCCTTCTAGGCCTAACTAACCTCTCAACATAATGATCATGCATGCCTTGCTAATAATTAACTTCTAGAAATGCTAACTAACTTCCTGAAAAGGAACCATGTGAGCTATATTTCTGCTGAAGAGTATCTAGGGTCATTACAACACCTTCCCCTCAAGAATCCTAGTCACTAGGATTGAGCTGAAAATCTGGAAACTGTGATTGTATCACTGTGACATCTTCCCAAGTTGAATCTTCAGTGCCTAGGTTCATCCATTTGATCAACACCTAAGTCACCTTCTGCCTCTTCCTAATGACTTCTCGAGTAGCAATCACACTCTCAGGGGCAATTTTAACCTGTCCATCAGCAGTAGTTAAGGGCAGTTCCTGAGTCACAACATGATTCTTTGCTGAGGGTTTAAGCAATGAAACATGAAAGGTAGGATGGATCAAGGAACTAGCTGGTAAATCTAGCCTATAGGCTGCATTCCCAACATTTTGAAGAACTTTGTAAGGGCCATAATATTTGGAAGATAGCTTCAGATTTTTTCTGACTGCCACCGATGTTTGTCTGTAAGGTTGCAGCTTTAAATAGGCCAAATCTCCAACTTGGAAACTCCTTTCACTCCTGTCCTTGTCAGCAAACTGCTTCATTCGATTCCGAGCTTTGATTAGATTCCCCTTCAACAACTCATTCCATTTCCTTCTGTCCCCTAACCATTGCTCCCACAGCAGCTACTGGAGTCTCCAAGGCATTGATGCCTAATTGGGAAGGTGGTTAACCATATAGAGCCTGAAAAGGAGTCATCTTCAAGGCTGTATGATGGTTGGTGTTGTACCACCATTCTGCAGCAGCTAGTAAGGACTTTCATTTGTGAGGTTGTTGGAAGCACAGACACCTCAAGTAGGTCTCCACACACCTGTTCAGTCTTTCTGTCTGTTCATCTGTCTGGGGATGATAGGCAATAGAGTAGTGCAGCTCAGTACCTAGCTTTCCAAATAGCTCCTACCAGAATAAGCTGGTAAACAGTCTGTCCCTATCAGATACAATGCTCAGTGGTAATCCATGCAGCTTGTAGATGTTATCAAAATACATGTTAGCCACTGACTGTGCTGTATACTTAGATGGTAGTGCTAGGAGATGGCAGTACTTGGTGAACCTATCAATGACAACCAATATCCCTTCATATCCTTGAGATTTGGGTAATCCTTCAATGAAGTCCATTAAGATATGTTGCCATGCTTGCTCAGGAATAGGTAGAGGTTGCAGCAGGCCTGGTGTCTTGCAGTTTTCTACCTTGCTTCTCATACAAACATCACACTGTTGCACCCACTTTTCTACTTCTCTTTTCATTCTTGGCCAGAAGAATGACCCTTTCAACCTTTGATAAGTTCCCAGATTGCCTGAATGTCGCCCAAGGTGAGAATCATGAAAGCAAGCTATCAGCTTCTGTCTCAAGCCCCCTGAGGAACCAATGTACACCCTACCTTTATACCTGAGCAAACCCCCAGTAAAAAAGTAATTTGGAAGGGAATCAGGTATAATTGTCAAGCCTTCAGCCAGCTTAGTAACTGCATTATCCCCTTGGTAACTCTCCAGGACTTCTGACAGCCATGCAAGTTTCATGACTGAAATGCTATGGGTAGAGCTGTCTTCTTCATAACCTCTTCTGGACAGTGCATCAGCCACAAGGTTTTCCTTTCCCTTTGTGTACTGTATTTTATAATCCAGTCCTAGCAACTTCGTGAGCCACTTTTGCTGTAGGGGAGTAGTTATCTTCTGCTCCAATAGGTATTTTAAGCTCTGGTGATCTGTCTTGATAATGAAATGATTACCCAACAGATAATGCTTCCACTGAGACACAGTTGTGATAAGGGACAACAGTTCCTTCTTGTATATGGATAACCCCAAATTCTTGGTCCTAGAGCTTGACTTAGATAGGCAATAGGCCTCACTTGCTACATTAGCACTGCACCTATAGCCTTATGGCTAGCATCTGTTTCCAGAACAAAGGGTAGGGAAAAGTTAGGAAGGGTCAGGACTGGTGTGCTACTCATCAGTTGTTTAAGTTTTTGGAAGGCTAGCTCAGCTTGTTTACTCCAGTGAAAATTATCCTTCTTCAACAACTCAGTAAGTGGCTTGGCAATGAGTCCATATCCCCTCACGAACCTCCTGTAGTATCCTGTAAGTCCCAAAAATCCTTTCAGTGCCTTCACTGATGTAGGTGTAGGCCAGTCCATCATGCTCCTGATTTTTGAGGGGTCTGCCTGTACTCCATCTCCACTGATAATGTGTCCCAAATACTCTACTTGAGACTTTCCAAAGATGCATTTGGAAAGCTTGGCAAATAGGGAGTGAGATTTGAGTGTTTCTACGACAGTCCAGAGGTGCAAAAGGTGAGTGTCTGGGTCTGGACTGAATACAAGGATGTCATCAAAGAATACTAGCAAAAACTTCCTCAGGTAGGGTTCAAATACATGGTTCATTAGGCTTTGGAAGGTTGCAGGTGCATTGTAATCCCAAAGGGCATAACAGTGAACTCATACAGTCCA